TTCACTTTTCTTCGCAGCAAAGTATTTCTTTCTTAAGTGCGTTGCATTTCTGACTCAATTTGCCACACTTTTCATGTCTCAGAGTTGAAAAATCTTCTCTCCTCAAAGAGCAATGACTGTTACGTATATTTATCACAAATGCGAAAAAAAAATATGTATTGACATGAAATACAGCCAGTGCTGTGATCCAGAAATCTGTGTAATTTTCAATGCTGCTACTCTGTGTAACGGCTAAATAAAACAAGCAAACTGCAGTGGCACTTTCTATAATTTCTAGATAAATTACAAAGCTCTGACGCAAAAAATAATATAACGATCACCGAAAACACTTGCTTTTCCAGGCACAAGCAAACTGACTGACTTTAACACGCTAGACATACCGCCGTGGAACTGCTATTGAAACCAGTCAAGACCGTGCTGTTTCTAATAGCAAATTTGGATTCTGGACAACTGTACAAGCACATTTTTAGGCAATTTTGCGGTGCAATGTTACAGAGCTAGAACAGTGAGTAAATCGCACATCGTGATGTCTCCGTTTGTATGTTTGTGATGCTTGTTTGTTTGTTTGTTTGTGTGTATGTGTTCGTTTGTTCGAGTGTTTTAATTCGACAATCAAGAAAACCTAGATGCTGAAACTTTACAGGTGCATCCCTTGACCAGGTGCGAATTCAAAAACGTTAAATCAAACTTCATGTGTGTTCGCGTCTCAGTACAGGCACGTAAAATTTCTGGTGAGAAAACTGCTAAGTGAGAAATCAGAAAAGCTTGAAAAATGAAATTTCGAGGTAATTTCCCTTGTCAACTTGTGATCTGGAGATTTCAAAGTAGTTTCTAACTGCGTGCGGACACGTGAAAGTTTTGACGGGAAATCATCGGGAACTTTCTAAGTCCGGAGAACCTAAAGCAAGAAGCTGAAATTTTATTAGGATGTATTACATCTATGTGTAACTCGGATCTTTGAATTTGGCTTCTGCGCAAACCTAGGTTTCACATGCGAACACGTGAAAGCTTTGGCAGGCATTTTTTCAATCCAATCTGAGAGCTGGAAAAGCGAAGGAGCTGAAATTTTGAGACGATATTTTTTGCTATATGCTAACCTGAAAATTCAAATTGAATTTTAGTGTACGTCTACTCTTCACTTACGCAGAAACACTTAAAATTTGACACTGCATAGTCTCCCAATTTTGCAGCCAAGCAAGCTAAAAAATTCAAAGTTTTTTCAAAGTCTCTATTTTGCAGTACGCTACAGGAACTAAAATCGCATTTCAAAACGAAAAACCCTACTTTGCTATGATAAAAAATTCTGGAGCAAAACCCCCCTTCATCAAATAAGCAGATCGTTTTAACTGATCGAAAAAATGAATCATTGTACTAGTAGTTTTAGTGCGCGTCGCTACTGGGCTTATACATGTTTCGGGCTACCATTGCCATACTGAAGTTATTATTCCAGAAATAAGATTAATATAACAACAACAAAGATAATAACTGTAATGCTAATACCACAAGTAATAATATTTGTCATTATTATCATTATTATTGTGTCATTAATATTATTACTTATTACTACTGTTTTTAATCACGATGCAGCTGTGCATATCGATGTGACGACGTGAAATGTGTGTGGATCTTCATTTCAATTGTATTGATTACGAGTTTTGCCTTTAAACTTGGAATGTCCACTACCCCGTTTTATCAGTGTGGTTGTTCTATCAGCAAGGCGATGACTGGGCCGGCTTCGTGCACGTCCCTGCGCATTTGTAAGATCTATCTTCCCGCAAAGTATGTAAACTGGCCGGTAGGCGTTGCAGCAGATGCTGCACGCCTCCATCATACCCGCACAATACGTACTGACTGAGAAAAAACAGCAGCAGCAGTTGACGCAAACTCATAGTAGCGAGCAAAAAAAATTAGCGCAACAGTAGACTAACCAATACGCACACGTACGATTAATGAAGAGGAAAAGTTTTTCGCGTGATGAAAAATACCTTTTTGTAAAATTTTCACCTTTTGGCCCTCGGGACAACTCGCCGGCACACAGATTGAGGCTCGACATCGGCATCTTCAAAAACAAGCGTTTGTTTAAACAGCATCAAACAAATACTCCGAAATTTCGCACAATGATCATATTCCTTCTCCCATTTAACAATTTTCAGTGATAGACTACCAGACTCGTTTGAACTATTAAGTGAGAAAATATCGAAATGCCACAAACAGGTAAAAAGAAGCTACAGGTCGTCATATCAGCTGGATACTCGATTTGCTGAACAACTGGCACTGCCTGGGTAGCGGCCAGGACTGGTGAACAAAACGCGGTACAACGCAGACACGACTTCTGTGAAGTAAAATCAGCTGTGGGTCAAGAGTTCTAGCAACTCATTCCCCTGCTGTTGCGATCTGCCAACAATTTCCGAGTAAATAAAAGAGCAAATTTAACCCAGGTTGGAACGCACCAGGCTTGCCAGTGCAGTCACGCGTTTTTGCACGAGACTTGAAGTACTCAAGTCATTAACTGCACGAATGGGTGTTGCTTTCCACCTATCTTTAGTGCTCACTAGCGCAAATCACTATAAATTTTGCATAAAGTAAATGAACAATTTCCATTTAACGATCGCTTTTCGAAAATAACCTAGCTGTTCGGTGAGAAATTTTCCCGCGAAACTTTTTAAGTGCCCATATGTGAGAAACACATGTATCTAAAGGCTGAATTTGAAATATTTAAATTGTATCTGGAGAGGGAACATTCCCCCAAAATTTCAGCTCTCTAGCTTTCTGGTTTCCGAGCTAGTGGTTTTCCCGCCAAAACTTTCGTACACCTTTACGTGAGTACCACGCATACCTGGAGGCTGAATTTGAAATCATTAGCTCACACGTGCACAGGGAATATCCCTGCAAAATTTCAGCCCCTTACCTTGTCTGGATCCCAAGGTCACTTTCTTGCCAAAAAATTTGCATATTTTTTCAAGGCGCCTGTACGCGGCGCCTGGACGTACGGGGTGATGGTATTAAAACGGAAGGGTCGCATTGGTGTAGGCACATATTTTCGAAGTTTTAGCCTTCTAGTATTTCTGGTTATCGAGTTGAAAGTGGGTGACAAAAATGCGAACACAGACAAGAGACACACACACAGTCTCTTCCTAATACGCGTTTTTGTAATTTGCATATATGCAAAAACGCATAACGAATGCAGGTAAAGTCAGATGAATGCGGTAAGGCAGCAGACAGGTTTTATGAAATGTATCCAATTTTAAAAACACGCCTTGATGTGCCTCCGAATGTCCGTACAACCGCTGTCCGGTGCTCCTGGAAATTTTCATGCGAACAGACTTCTTCTAGCGGGTGAAAACTGTCTGGAGAAACGTGAGGGGGGGGGGGGGGGGGGGGG